GGGACATGGTAAGGACTTGCCTTGTACTTCTTCCGGCTGTGTGTATGTGTATTTCAGCAGACAGGACTTGCAGAATGTATGATGACAGTGATGTGTGGCTGGGTCTGTGAACACCTCTGTACAGATGACACAGGTGAGGTGGTTCTCTGTCAGATTCTTAGCGGTCGCCATCTGAAGCCAAACCGATAGTTTAGTGAAGTATATATGCACATGTTATAGACAGAATCATACAACATGTACATGACTGCATCATCCCCAACGTCCCAACACGTGACATCATTACAAGACAATGAGACGGGAGTTTACGTGACAACACGGCGCCCCATTGCATGTATAGTATATCTGTGGAACATCATGACTCTTATGTTTTACGTAAGTTGCCCTGAAAATCAAATACCACACAGTATCATGATACTATTTCACATTTTCCCCTAAGTAATGAATATGTACATTCCATGAAGTGGAGAGACTGAGTGGAATGTATGCCATGTTTTTCAAACACATGACACAAGAATTAATGCACATGGATATTAAAATTAGTTTCATACAACGAAACTCTGGATGCCGAGTTTTATTTATGACGCACATTTTCCTAAGATCGGAAAAGTGAAGGTTGTGCGAGAATTGCGCTCACGCGGCACTGGATATTCCCCTGGCTATTAAATTACACAGAGGTGGAGAATGTTAAATTTCCTATTTGATTGTGTAAAGTAACCTGCAAATATTAAACCGGTTTTAAAAATATACACTTTTAAGTGTTGTCCGAGAATTTATTCTGCGTTGAAAAACAGTCAATTTCTCCACCTTTTATCGTATACCGATAAAAGTACTGAGCGACGATTTTTTTTATTTCGAAGCTTTACCGAAACTGTCAGCGAACAAAATACTGCCTAATATGTGAACGACATAACAATATATCAAATAGAGTTATAGGCGTATGTATAACGATATACACTCAATGTTAAAAATAGCATGCCGTAAATGACGAAAACTGATTTTTCTCTATGACGTCAAAAGGCGACAGAGAGGTTACACACGTTCAGGGAAAAGGGGGCATAACTCCGCTATGCTTAGCACTAGTTTGTTGTAACTCAGGTCAATTGGTGAGAATTAGCTGTGGGTAAGGACAATATATTTTCGTGGCGTTTCGTTCACGAGGAACCAAACTATTCCAACACAATTATCCATATTGAAACTGTATACGTTTAGTTATTAAAAACGCCCATAAGAAATGATGAAATCGTACTTCTTAAAAAAGAGGTAATAGAGAAATGGATGGCCCTATCTAACCTATACCTTAATCCTTAGATTCCAACATTCTCCTGTTTGTGTAAGAGTAATATGACTAATGTTGCACCATTATTAATGGAGCACTAGACTTGTCATCAGATGTAATGAAATACCCCAAAAATAACACCATTCCTTTTGACATCATGGCTCGTTTTATGTCTTTGATAACGTCGGAGAAAGATGACACTGGTATTTTGATTAATATATATCTCCCCTAATTTTCGTTCATGGTATGGAAAATATCGTTCTATAAAACGGAATTTGACGCTTTTTCGACACAACATAAAATTACTGCTTTCACCAAGTAAATAATGTTTTGAATATGTAAACAATTAGATAGTTTATCGTGTATCTTAATTAGCCAAGACACGCACCTGTTTGGCATCAATTTACGTAATGAAATACCCAAAATAATATTTCAAAACAACCAAAATTATATTCAATATTCGACATATATTTGTTCATTATTATGTTATTATCTCTCTTCATTTTACACAATAAAAAGATGCGAAGAAAGCTCTATTGGTATAGAATTATCAGGATAATCGTATAAGGTTGAACCAACAGGGTACCTGGCATGGATTGTATTTTATACATTTTACAATTCCTGGAGAAATTAAGTAAACAGTTTAATATCCTGTGATCACAATATTGAAAAAAGAATGAACCGATTGATTATATAATGCAAAACGAGAGGAATAATTCGTAAATTGTTTGTGACTAACACGCACCTGGCGAATCATTAGATATCACTGTTCTGTGTATCAAACGACACAAAAAAACAATTTCAAAGACACTACTTTCAGAAATGTGTCCATATATTTACCGAAAAAATATTATCCATTTTGTGAAATAATATATTCAGTTTTAGGTATTAAATAAAATGAAACGGCTATTCATGGACATTGATAATATGAACTTATAATATTGACTATTGCACATCCCAAGAAATTCGTACATGCTGCAGTTACATTTACACTTCATCTTGTAACACTCGTCCAAAGGAAAGAAATATCGTATTCGACACTAAAAACCTATCAATTGTTATGTAAACAATGTTCAAACAAACAGGAGATTATCAAAGGTTCGTTCATACATGTTGTGGCCTATATTTATGATATCATTTTGAACATTGACAAATGTCCAAAGTGAAATTAATTGTGTGAAAAAATTATAAAAGATATGCAAAATCTACATCATAACTGAAACTGTAAACAGCATGGTACAATGATCGTATGCAATCTAATTCAAGGACCTAAACCTCAAAGAAATTACCAAATATGTACAACAATGTTGACGTATGACATCACTACCGGTGACCGACCCTTACAAAATGGCGTGTTCACTGTCAACAGTACGCGGGATTTTACGAGGGGACTTTCGTTGATTCAGGGATCGTATATACATAAATGTGACATGTAAGTAATCAGACACATTCTGACAATCCATGTACTGTTATTTGTTGTTATAATTTTCATTGAAACAAACCGAAATAGTCAGAAATTCCGATAAATACCGTTGTCGTTGTGCGTGATTTTGCGTCAGTCATGGCGTCACATCAATCTCTTTAAAATCATATCTTAGTTTTCGCTACCGCCAAACAACGCTTTGTTTAGCGATAGCGAGAACAAAGATCTGATTTTAATGAGATTGGGCGTCACACAGGACGATAACTTTGCAATGATTTGATATTTTCAATGTATCTATTTTAAATTCCCCAATTCTTCCTACGATTCTCTTCCCATGTATATTCTGAAAATGCTGAGCCAATATCTTGAACGAATAGACGAATGGATAGCTCAAAATAGGAGAAAATGCTACACTGTGTAAAATCTGTATTTTGCTTTGTTTACATTTCAAACAAGTTCAGTTTTTAGAGCACAGCGTTCGTTTTCACACCCTACTTATTTTGCTTGATTTCTTCAAGCCACTTCGTATTGGTGACAAAGACCATTGTTCATTTAATTCTAAAATGTGTGAGGAATTCAAGGATGTGTGTATCGCAGCTAAGTTTGAAATATTCGTGATGTTACAGGCGCCTCATAACCGGTGTACCTGAAACGTGATTTTGTAAACACTATCCAATATGGCGGAAAGTTCACTTCGGCGTTCGTTTTTGCGTATTTGGGTTATCGGAGCCGTTTTGGAATGATCATTGTGATACTCGTGATCACTAATATGCTATTTTGGAAATTCCTTTCTCGGAGTAAGTATCCGAAATTTAGATTTCAAAACATGCTGTAAATAACGGTGATTTAGTAATGTGTACAAAATGGCGACATTTACGAAGTACCTTATTTTCAGAGGTCATTTTTAGTACTTTTGCTTGGCCTTAAATGCCAGTGGGTGGTATCACAGAACAGGGAATCTCCCACCTTATTCAAAACTGTGAAGTGTATTAGTGTGCATGATGTATTTTGAATTTTTTTGGACTTCAAAGTGAGGGTTGTAGAGGAGGGACATATATGTCCCTGTTGCATCCAGGGGGTTAATTCAACAATCTTACAGTAGACTAATTTAAAACAGAAACAAGAACAACAGTGGACCCATTTCCATAAATACAGGTTGATGTCTCAGCTTCTTGTAGTAAAAGGTAAATCAGGTTTGAAACACACACAACACCTCCCTCGAGTACTGCACGTACTTTAATACTTTACTTCCTGGTTGCCTGTCACCCCACACCCCTCACGTGACCTTACCAGGTCAAGACGGCGAGTAGACACGTGGTTTAAAAATTGGCTTCTTTGGGGATACACACTCTCCTCTGTGAAGTACTACATTAAGATTAAATAAAAATCGACAACACCAAAGAATAATCAGTATCTGCCGAAGCGCATTCCATCTAAGGCAAAACAGTGGTGAAAATTATGTGAATAGATAACTGGAAATCAGTGTCGACACCAGGTGTTCGCTCCTGCTGTGCACCGTCAGGCAACAAACGTTTACTTCATGGGTGAGTAAAAACTTAAAGTCTTCATTGTCTTCATGACCGGATACGGATTGTCCACACACACGCACACGCACACGCACGCACCCAAGCACCCACACTCAAATACACACACATCACACATCACACACACACAACAGACAAAATCATACAGGCATCTACTGTCACATGACTGATATTAAACATACATGCAAGTCGATGATGCTTAAGGGGACATAACTCTGATCCAACCTTGTTATCGCCACAACACCTCCCCCGACCTGAACAACTTACCTATCGTTCATGTGGTGTTTCCAGCACGCATGTTAATGTACATAAAACGCTACCTTCACTTAGGCAGCAAATCAAATGACCCGAGTATGCTAATGTGCCGGGTAGGTGGGTGGACACCAGCAGACGTTTCAGCTAATTTCTTCTTTCGTTATAACCCGTAACTACTGGTACTATGACCTCAGATAAAAGCAGTCGGAAATCTGTCTGCCTAGCTCCGTGTTTATTGATTTTTGATAACAGTAATCTTGCGTGTGTTGCCTTTCATCAGCGATGACGATTCAGCTGCTAACTGACATCGTACAGAACTATATGGATGTAATCATGGTGGACACCTGCTGGATATGTCAATGGCTAGTCTACTTTCTGTGTTAAAGTCAAACCTCTGCCCTTGCGTGTATACATTAAAACATAGGCAACACAACCATGTACTGTCACACAATGTAAAATCTATACGTGTGTATGTGTAATGTCGTCTAAATATGTGACATACCTCTATTACAACGTGGAGCTCTCTTCTCTGAAGTCGCCTCTCTTCCTGGTTCCTGAAATAACTACAACCGCCCGCCTCTTGTCATGTGAGATAGATCACGTGATCTGGTATGTACAGGTATGTACTTGTATCTCATTAAAAGCAACTTTGTGCGACTCTCTTCAGATCTGTACAATCAAGCCAAAACTCCAGGATGCAAGAGATTCTTTCTTTGTTTGACCATTAGTCATGTATCTGAAATAATGTGTGCAATCTCTTTTGTTGTTTCAATCAAACGTGAACTGATACAAGGTTTTTTTTTGAGAGAATGTATTGTAACGCAGGGACGAGTTGTCCCCCTTAGACCATAATATTCCATATTGAGCTGGGTTGCCGCTGATGACCCTTAGGAGGTCTTTCCGTTTTAGGGCGGTGGGGTAGTCTGGTGGTAAAAGCGTTCGCTCGTCACGTCAAAGATTCCCAACATGGGTATAATGTGTGACGCTTATTTACAGACCGCCGTCATATAGCTGGAATATTGCAGAGTGCGGCGTTAAACAACAAACAAACAAAAATCATTTCTGGTGTCCCCCGCCGTGATATTGATGGAATATTACAAAAAGCAGTGTAAAACCATACTCACTCAATATCCGGTTGTTTTTTTAGAATAGTTGACCAGAAACCCATGCTTGCCGTAGGCGACTAACGGGATCGGGTGGTCAGGCTCGGTGACTTTGTTGATGCATGTCATCGTATCCAAATTGCGTGGATCGATGCTCATAATGTCAATCACTGGATTGTCTGGTCCAGACTCGATTATTTACAGACCGCCGTCATATAGCTGGAATACTGCTGAGTGCGGTGTTAAATAACAAACAAACAAACAATATCCATTTTACAAGTAATATGGCCGAGGAATATCAAAAGGACTCTAAGATGTCAGGGGAGCTGAAACAAAATCAGAGAGAAGGCGGCAGGGACAAAGATGCCTGAAATCATAGATGCGTTGAGGAAGAGTGCGATTGATGATGATTTGTAGCCAGTAGCCTCCCGGGGAAAATCGATGCCCAAATTACCTATCAAAGAAAAGACTTGTGCTATCCAAGGTAAGGCAAACGTTAGAAAGCTGAAAATTATGAGTGAATAGAATCGTTAGCACAAGACCTGGAGGCGAAGTTTCTCGATTCCGGGGATGGTATAAACTTGACCTTGGTAGTTCAAAAGGGGACGGTGATAACTCCACATCAGAGATGTGGACATACGCCAGTATAGGCGTCTTTAAAGATGATTACTGACAAAGGAGGGGATATATCTGGGATACTTGACTGTCTGAATGACATCCTAGATGTCAGTCGCCTTGCATAGAAATACGTATGGGGAGATATACTGGTCTATGACAGGAGTACGGAGAAACTAAGAATCATAGGGCGGCATGTTTAAACCGGAAGCAAACAGAACTGCAGATAAAGGAAGAATTAATGTTAGGGAATTATGGGATTGCCACATCTAAACCTAGAGTTGCTAGTTTGTTTGGTGCTATTCCGAAGACTGACAGCAAGATAAGACTTATCCACGATGAGAGTTTCCGCGGGAAAAGATATAAATTATTACATGGTAAAGTGTAGTGCTCATACTTGAACTTTAGGGACGGTAAAAAGGTAATCAACCAGGTAGTTTCCTCGCAAAGGTTGACCTCAAGGGTGGTTCAGATCAATACGACTGCACACAAGTAACCATGATCAGAGTTGTGCTGTACTACCTATACTTGTAGCATAAAAAGCTACCTTTTGCTGCAGCAAAGAGCCCTGAGATATTGCAAACCTTCAGTTCGGCAGTGTGTTGCCTAACGAAAGTGCGGTATAACGTGAGGGTTTATAGCCCACATAGAGACTGATTGTGTACAGTTCAGTCGAAGAATGTGCAGGAGCTCGTGCTAAGTTGATTTCTGTGTTGCAGATGTTGTCTTGTCGACTTGAGGGACACTAAAAGTTGATCACCCCAGGCAGTTTCCTCGCAAAGGTTGACCTCATGAGTGTGTACTGATCTTTATTACTTGCCAGATCACCCGTTGAAGAGATCATCGGTTTAATAAACATACAGCTGTATCACACATTGTACAAGACCAAAGCCCGTGTTAATGTACTGCGGGAAGAAGTTTCACAAACAAATATTGAAATCTGTCAACATCCAAGGGCTTATTCAACGACAACGAACCAAGTCAGCGAGCCTGACCATCCGATCCCTTAGTCGCCTCTTTCATACCCATTGGAATATGATAACATACCCATAGTAATATGATAACATACCATAGGAAAGAAGCCCATCTATAAAAGGTACCATACACCAAATATTAACAGGAATCTAATCCTTCGGCATAGAAGCTCCACATGCTTCCATTCCCAATAGCTTGCGTTTGCTACACATTTGAATATAACGACGATATACATTACTCCTCCTGAATCTAACATCTTGGATCTGCCGCCCGGTAAACCCTATTTCAAACACCCAACTAGCTCCTCCCTTTCTGAAAGTATGACCTGTCAATACGTCACTCACGTACCTTTCCTGTAAAATATGATTTATAACTCCAATAAAAATGTCATGAGACAAGGCGTTATGTTGCTTATCACACACTAGTTGTATTATTAGCTGCACTCGTTCATGTTACAGTAACAAGGTCCGCATGACGTCTTATCCCAGTTGAGTAGAGAGATGTTCATGATGTCAATCACTGGACTGTCTGGTCCAGACTCGATTATTTACAAACCACCCTCATATAGCTGGAATATTCTGAGTGCGGCGTGAAACAGCAAACTCAAAACACATTTTATTTGTTGGATGTTTTGTTATATCATCAAATCTTCATCCTCAGCCAAATTAGAGTTGTACAATTGATAATGCCATCAAGTCATGTTGCATATGAGCATGTTCGTGTTGTGTTTTCCCTATTACAGCTAAAGAAAGGGCAACACCCTATTTGTGCCACAATATACCAACACTCAAGTCAGACTAAAACATTCCATGTACCCCACTTAGTTCACAGAGTGAAATTATAACTGTTATTAATTCCGACCAAGTACGATATACGGGTATACATTTTCTCCTGAAATGTTTTAAATGTCTGTGATGTCACGTGTACGTAGCCTCTTAGTGCTGAGGTGGGTGTGTAGAGACAATGCAGGATTCAGAAGCTGAAGATATTGCACTGCTTTGTTCTTCAAACCAGCTAGGATAATTCAGTGTTTCTGAAGCAATGTTTTACAAGTGACTTGACGAGAGTTTCCTTGGATGTAAACAATGATGTACAGAATGTTTGTCTGTGAATGACAGATATGTGTTGCACGAGTCACTCTGTCCACACCCGGTCACATGACACATTGAGACTTGAATAATACACTGGGGGTCGTATACAGAAATATATACATAGGGACTTAGTTGAAACCAAAGGGAAACGGCTTTCTGGTCATTGGTTAGATATTCATATGTATGTGTTGGCTGGTGTTTAAATCTAACTTTGGTTAGACATTTTGCATTTCTAAACTTGGTACAGAAGATTGGTTGACCCATGATACTGCCAGTGTAAGCTGGTACAAAATCTACATGCAGTAAACTACGTTTATAACAAACACGCTTATAACGAACCGGCGGATATAACGAACAGTTTTTTTAGTCCCGTACATTTGCTGTATATAAACTTATAACGAACCAGGTTACAATAAACTAAAACTGGTGGTCCCTTTGAGTTCGTTATAACCGTAGAAACAGTGCAGGTTTTGGTCAAAGTGGCATTACATACTTGAGGCCTATGTACATATCCAATCTGCCATGTGGCTACTTCAATAAGTGCAGCACTAAAGGAGTCCAGGACATCGGGGAAGTTTTGAAGTTGTTTGAAGTTGAAAGAATACGAACACAGGAGACATTTTATGGGTAACATTATTCTTTGTGACGACGTTTCAGAGCTACTTCTTGTCCCTTCATCAGGTGAATGCTGAGTAGCTACATGGAGTTAATATATATACATACTAATATACTCACTGATTAATGACTACAGTTATGTAGGCCCCTCACTCACTCATTCACTCACTCACTCACTCATTCACTCACTCACTAATGGCTACATTAATGTGGGCCCCTCACTCACTCACTCACTAATGACTACAGTAATTTAGGCGCCCTCACTTACTCACTCACTCATTCACTAATGACTACATATATGTAGGCCCCTCACTCACTCACTCACTCACAAATGACTACAGTAATGTAGGCCCCTCACTCACTCACTCACTCACTAATGACTACAGTAATTAAGGCGCCCTCACTTACTCACTCACTCACTCACTAATAACTACAGTAATGTTGGCCCCTCACTCACTCACTAATGGCTACAGTAATGCAGGCAACTCACTCGCACAAACAACGACCATCCCTGAATCATGCATACCTATTTTTCTTCGGATACATCATAGGATGTTTTTGGGATTGACAGGGTTGACTTTGATGAAATCAAACAAGCAACTAAATAGATGGTGACCTCTCAAAGTATACTTTGATGAAGATATAAGCAAAATGGTGGATACAGATGCTGTCACAGTTGGGTAAGGATCCATACAGTTGCTTGTTAATATCATACAACTCATTACCCAGGAGGGACAAAGTGCCATGCATAATAAGGCAATCTTGGCGACTTCTGACTTTGTCATATCGATGCCGGTGTCGTAGACTGGCAAGTGGCATGGTGTGAGGGCTATTTGTTGGTACACTGAATGAGAAAAACATGAATAAACCTTAGAGCTTTGATAAAAGCATCTGTGTTTTCATTGATACATTCTGTTTCAAACACTGAACTATTCTTGTCTCCAGAAAAGTAAAGTAAAGTAGTTTTATTCATAGAAATGACATACGAATATAGATCAAGGCAAATTATGCAATCAATGAAATTAGCCACAGAAGGGATACAAGTATCTCTATCAATTAACCTATCGCCACCTGTCAATCTAACAACATGATTGACAACAAGTCAAGAACTGTGAAATGACAAATAATTTGCAACTTCTACCCTTGAAAATGTTTTACTGTGCATTTGACTATTATATACAGATCTCAACACGTTTAGCAATTAAAATGTATCACGAACTATTGGAATACACAATGATGGATGAAATATGTCACTCATTCATAGTGTGAAAACATTACTATACATATTTCTGCACAGAGTTGTGTCCCTTTGATCACCTGTCAAACCAAACCCTGTCCCTTGTAAACTATGAATACAAATTCACCTGCATGGGTGTATAGCATTGTTTTCCTTGAACATCGGTACGGCAAAGATCTCCTTATCTCCTATGTGTCTGGGATATGACTGAGAGAGAGTGTATTGTCCGAATGGAGTTGAATGTCGTTACTATTATACTCTACTCAGTACCCCAGATTGTGGAAATAACTGATACAAATTAGTACATTTACTAAACTCAACCAGTTCTTACAGCATCAACACATTATTATATCCGCTGTAGATCACCGAATGCTAGTGGTATTTTATAAGAGTTAAGCGCCCCTTTAAAAAATTAGGAGATGGGTTGTCGAACTGATAATCTAGAGACCGGTAGCATGCACAATTATGTGAACAGGTTTCTCCATGACAACACACGTCAGATATATAGTACAATACAAAACACAACATTACTGTTCTATAAACAACATGAAACAACAAAACTGTCTAGGTCACGTGATCTCTCGTGTGGTGTTGTCCTCTTTCAGTGCTTTCATTGTGCGTTCCTTTCACAAATGTACTTGAGAAGTACTTCTATCAGGTCAGACTACTACTGGTGTTAGGTCGTCCTGTATTTAACCAATGACATGATGGACTACTTGTGTAAGGGAAAAACTGGATCCGATCTTGACCTAAAGCAGCAGTCAACTTTTGAAAGATTCAACTGTGTATCAAGATCAAAATGATCTCTATTTCCATATTCAGCGCCTGAAGAATTTGAATACTTTTACATATCTGTCAGACGTAACATACAGCAGGCCGCCAGCATCAAGACAGACACCACCAGGATATTCCAGACCATCCTGTTGTGTGAGGACATCTCTGACAAACTGCCCCGACTCTGTCAGCTGAATCACCTTGTGGGAGCGTTTGTCTCCAAGCAGGATGTCTCCTGTGCTGGTTGTTGTGACACCCTGAGGTTGTGCCAGAGCTCTGTCTCCTGTGGGAGTGTAGGTGAAAACAGCGTCTCCTTCACTGGTCACACATACAAGGGATTTTACTGCTCCTTCACTGACTATCAAGTTCTTGTTTCTGGTGACATGGATGTAGTCTGGAGTCCCTATCACCCCCGTGTTGATAGACCTCAGTATCCTCCCTGTCATGTCCAGTATGTCCACAGAGTAAGACTGTCTCCATGTACCTGCCGCCAGCTGTGAAGGACTCAGACAGGCCAGGGCGTAGTACTTCTTTCTTGTTTTGATAGTTGACAGCAATACAGGATCTGGGGTAACATTCACTGTAACTATTTCCTGACTGTCTCGAACACTGACCGCTATCTGACTCTCACTTAACTTTGCTATTTGCCAAGGCTCACTAGAAAGCAGAAGCTGATTATCAAAGGATTTGAAGTTTGATGTGTAATATGTTTTGAGTCTCTTGTTATTGTAATCTGCAACTACCACCACTTTGATGCCATCAACAGTCAACACTGTCAAGTCACGCACCGAAGGATCCTTCCTGTCCCCACCTTCCTTGCAATCAATGGTGTGATGTAGAACAGGAGAAGACTCGGGGTCACTCACATCATGGACGACTTGAACCTCCCCCAGCTGTAGCTCATCAACTGCTTTACTCAGCTTGTCCAGGTCGTGTGTCAATACAACCCTTCCTGCTGCTGGCCTGTTGTCCGTGTCTCTGATGTCTGTAGACGTCTCACCCATCGACTCATAGACGGCATACATGTCCGACTCACAGTTGGACGTCACAGCATTGGCTGTGAACTCATACTGCTGCTGGTACATCTGTAGCTCGATCTCCTGGAATTTTATATCTGCTTGTAACTCACGTAATTGTTCATCAGTAGCTTTGTCGATGTCACCAAGGAGTTGCTTCTCTTTTCTTAAAATAACACGCATCACTGTCTCTCGTGTCTTTATGACTTGATCTTTAAGGGTTTGTGAATTACTCTTCACATCTTGAATTGTAGATTTTCTCCAGGTTATGATATTATTCGTAGCTGCAACGTTGATTCCAAGTTTCTCTAGTTTGCTTGTCAGTTGTCCCTTCACAAGAGGGGTCATACTCTCTATTGTATCAACATCCTTACATGCCCTGTGTTTTATACTGCAGCATATCGTGCATATTGCCTGCTTGCAGTCTTTACAGAACAACTTCACCTTTTCATCTCTGTGGACTTTACACATGAAGCGACGCTTGACCTTTATTTTGGTGTGATCAGACAAGTGAGCTACTTCATGGTCACACAACCCTGGCATCATGTTGTGCATCTGGAGACATCCTTCACAGTGCACAACATCGCAGACAGAGCACCAAGAAGTGGCTGGAGTTGTCTTTCCTTGTTTTCTACAAACACTGCACAAGTGTTCCTCCACACCTACAAAAACAAGTGTGCTTAATTTTATTATCAAAAAAAATGATAAGAATCGCACACCATCTAAAGAAATAATAACCGGTAACACATTAGTTTTGTCACAAACGGCCACGCCCTTTCTGCAGGTGAACACATCATATGACACAGGTTGTAATGAAACAATGATGCCGTCTAACAATGTAGCACTCCCTGGTCAATCATGACGTACAGGTAGTCATAATCACAAGATTATTATTTGCTGACTAGATATGCAATAACAGATGCATATTAGAAACTGCGGGCGTTACAGCGTCTTTATAGATGAAAGACTGAACTGAACATAAACGTTTTCATTTAACATGCTTTGTAACAATGTAGGGCCATGGCACAGCCAGTAGGATTACCTGTAACTAAGATCAACCCCACAGTTCTGCCAACACAACCCTTTCTTAGCTGTGACATATATTGTAGTCCCTATTCAGGATAAGCAGACACAAATTGTGACTTTTAGATGCTAGCTTGTCATACAAATTGTATTAATAACTGACAATGATATAACAAAAAGGAATGACGACGTGGAAGGGGTAGGACATGAAATTCATGTTGATTTCATAAAATTATGGTAATAGGTATTTGAGTTCACCGCAAGCTCTTTGTCAGAAACAGAATGTAATTTTTTTGCCTTTGCAAGAAAGAAATATTTATCCTGCATCAAAATCGATTAACATGAAGTCATAATAATCAATTCTATGAGTGAATGCTCATCTATCCACACGTGTGTGGTTGTTTTCAAACCTTTCAAAAAGGTATATTAGTCAGGCAGTAGAATTATACGCTGATTACCCTTTGTGTCGGGTCCAAAGTCGTCCATCAGCCCCTGTATGACATGGCTTGGTTTCAGCTGACTGACCCACTCCTCTACTGGACTGTCAGGGTTGGTCACATTCGTCAGTTGTCTACAGGAGGGACATGGTATGGACTTGGCTTGTACTGCTTCAGGCTGTGTGTTGATGTATTTCAGCAGACAGGACTTGCAGAATGTATGATGACACTGAAGTGTGGCAGGGTCTGTGAACACCTCAGAACAGATGACACAGGTGAGGTGGTTCTCTGTCAGATTCTTAGCGGTCGCCATCTGAAGCCAAACCGATAGTTTAGTGAAGTATATATGCACATGTTATAGACAGAATCATACAACATGTACATGAATGCATCATCCCCAACGTGACAACCGGGCGCCCCATTGCATGTTTATCTGTGGAACATCACTCTTGTTGATTATGCTTTACGTAAGTTGCCCTGAAAATCAAATACCACACAGTATCATGATACTATTTCACGTTTTCCCCTAAGTAATGAATATGTACATTCCATGAAGTGGAGAGACTGGGTGGAATATATGCCATGTTTTTCAAACACATGACATAGAATTAATGCACATGGATATTAAAATTAGTTTCATACAACGATCTTAATTCAACAATCTTACAGTAGACCAATTTCAAACCGAAACAAGAACAACAGTCGTTTAAGCCATGGACCCATTTCCATAAACACAGGTTGATGTTATAGCTTCTTGTAGTGAAAGGTAAATCAGGTTTGAAACACACACCACACCTCCCCCGAGTACTGCACGTACTTCAATACTTTACTTCCTGGTTGCCTGTCACCCCACACCCCTCACGTGACCTTACCAGGTCAAGACGGCGAGTAGACACGTGTTTTAAACCGTCGTCAAATATTTGCGTGTTTTGGGATACGCACTCTCCTCTGTGAAGTACTACATTAAGATTTAATAAAAATCGACAACGCCAAAGAATAACCAGTATCTGCCGAAGCGCATTCCATCTAAGGCAAAACAGTGGTGAAAATTACGTGAATATATACCTGGAAATCAATGTCGACACCAGGTGTTCGCTTCTGCTGTGCAACGTCAGGCAACAAACGTTTACTTCATGGATGAGTAAAAGCTTAAAGTCTTCATTGTCTTCATGACCGGATACGGATTGTCCACACACACACACACGCACGCACGCACGCACGCACGCACGCACGCTCACACGCACACTCAAATACTCACACATCACACACATCACACACACACACACAACAGACAAAATCATACAGGCATATACTCTCATATGACTGATATTAAACATACATGCAAGTCGATGATGCTTAAAGGGACATAACTCTGATCCAACCTTGTTATCGCCACAACACCTCCCCCGACCTGAACAACTTACCTATCGTTCATGTGGTGTTTCCAGCACGCATGTTAATGTACATAAAACGCTACCTTCACTTAGTCAGCCAATCAAATGACCCGAGTATGCTAATGTGCGGGGTAGGTGGGTGGACACCAGCAGACGTTTCAGCTAATTTCTACTTTCGTTATTTATAACCGGTAACAACTTGTACACTGACCTCAGATAAAAGCAGACGAAAATCTGTCTGCCTAGCTCCGTGTTAATTGATCGTGATAACAGTAATCTTGAGTGTGTAGCCTTTCACCAGCGATGACGATTCAGCTGCTACCTGACATCCTACAGAACTATATGGATGTAATCATGGTGGAGTCCTGCTGGATATGTCAATGTCAAGTCTACTCTCTGTGTTAAAGTCAAACCTCTGCCCTCACGTGTATACATTAAAACACAGGCAACACAACAATGTACTGTCACATAATGTAAAATCTATACGTGTGTATGTGCAATGGCGTCTAAATATGTGATATACCTCTATTACAACGTGGAGCTCTCTTCCCTGAAGTCGCCTCTCTTCCTGGTTCCTGGAATAACTACAACCGCCCGCCTCTTGTCGTGTTAGGTAGATCACGTGATCTGGTATGTGCAGGTATGTACTTGTATCACATTAGAAGCAGCTTTGTACGACTTTCTTCAGATCTGTACCATCAAGCCAACACTCCAGGATTCAAGAGATTCTTTCTCAGTTTGACCATTAGGCGTGTATCTGAAATAATGTGTGCAATCTCTTTTGTTATTTCAATCAAACGTGAACTGATACAAGGTGTAGTTTTCGAGAGAATGAATTGTAACACTGGGAAGAGTTGGCCCCCTTAGACCATAATATTGCATATTCAGCTTGGTTGCCGCTCATGAACCTTAGGAGGTTTTTCCGTTTTAGGGCGGTGGGGTAGTCTGTTGGTAAAAGCGTTCGCTCGTCACGTCAAAGATTTCCAACATGGGTATAATGTGTGACGCTTATTTACAGACCGCTGTCATATAGCTGGAATATTGCTGAGTGCGGCATTAAACAACAAACAAACAAAAAACATTTCTGGTGTCCCCCGCCGTGATATTGATGGAATACAAGGAATACAAAAAGCAGTGTAAATCCATACTCTCTCATTCAATATCCGGTTGTTGTTTTTAGACTAGGTCTTCAGCAACCCATGCTTGCCGTAAAAGGCGACTATTCTTGCTGTAAGAAGCGACTAACGTGATCGGGTGGTCAGGCTCGCTGACTTCGTTGATGCATGTCATCGTATCCCAATTGCGTGGATCGATGCTCATGAGGTCAATCACTGGATTGTCTGGTCCAAACTCGATTATTTACAGACCGCCGTCATATAGCTGGAATATTGCTGAGTGCGGCGTTAAACGACAAACAAACAAACAATATCCGTTTTACAAGTAATATGGCCGCGGAATATGAGAAGGACTCTAAGATGTCAGGGGAGCTGAAACAAAATCAGAGAGAAGGCGGCAGGGACAAAGATGCCTGAAATCATAGATGCGTTGAGAAGAGTGCGATTGATGATGAAAAACGCCGCCCAAATTGGCTAACCATCTCCGTGTGTGTTGACTTGTGCTATCCAAGGTAAAGCAAACGTTAGAAAGCAGAGAGATTATGAGTGGATAGAATCGTTGGAGAACAAGACCTGGAGGCAATGTTTTTCGATTCCGTGGATGGTATAAACTTGACCTTGGTAGTTCAAAAGGGGACGGTGATAACTTCACTTTAGAGATGTGGACATACGCCAGTATAGGCGTCTTGAAAGATGATTACTGACAAAGGAGTGGATATATCTGGAATACTGGACTGTCTGAAATACATGCTAGATGTCAGTCACCTTGCTTCGAAATACGTATGGGGAGATATACTGGTCTATGACAGGAGTACAGAGAAACTAAGAATCATAGGTCGGCATGTTAAAACCGGAAGCAAACAGAACTGCAGATAAAGGAAGAATTAATGTTAGGGAATTTAGGATTGCCACATCTAAACCTAGAGTTGCTAGTGTGTTTGTTGCTATCCCGAAGACTGACAACAAGATCAGACTTATCCACGATGAGAGTTTCCGCGGGAAAAGGTATGAATTATGTGAATGCTCATACTTGGACTTAAGGGACAGTAAAAAGTGGATCACCAAGGTAGTTTCCTTGCAAAGGTTGATTTCAAGGGTGGTTCAGATCAATACGACTGCACCCAAGTAACCATGATCAGTGTTGTGCTGTACTACCTATACTTGTAGCATAAAAAGCTACCTTTTGCTGCAGCAAAGAGCCCTTAGATATTTCAAACCTTCAGTTCGGCAGTGTGTTGCCTAACGCAAGTGCGGTATAACGTGAGGCTTTATAGCCCACATAGAGACTGATTGTGTACAGTTCAGTGGAAGAATGTGCAGGAACTCTGGCTGAGTTGATATCTGTGTTGCAGATGATGTCTTGCGGACTTGAGGGACACTAAAAGTTGATCACCCTAGGCAGTTTCCTCGCAAAGGTTGACCTCATGAGTGCGAACTGATCTTTATTACTTGCCAGATCACCCGTTGAAGAGATCCTCAGTTTAATAAACACACAGCTGCATCACACATTGTGTAAGACCAACGCGCGTGTTAATGTACTGCGGGAAGAAGTTTCACGAACAAATATTGAAATCTCTCAACATCCCAGGGCTTATTCAACAACAACGAACCAAGTCAGCGAGCCTGACCACCCGATCCCATTAGTCGCCTTTTTCATACCCATTGGAATATGATAACATATCCATAGGAAAGAAGCCCATCTATAAAAGGTACCAACGCCGAATATTAACAGGAATCTAATCCTTCGGCAGAGAAGCTCCAAATGCTTCCATTGCCAATAGCTTGCGTTAGGTATATCTTTGAATATAACGACGATATACATTACTCCTCCTGAATCTAAAATCTTGGATCTGCCGCCCGGTAAACCCTATTTCAAACACCCAACTAGCTCCTCCCTTTCTGAAAGTATGACCTGTCAATACGTTTCTCACGCTCCTTTCCTTAAAATATGATTTACAACTCCAATAAAAATGTCATAAGACAAGGCGTTATGTTGCTTATCACACACTAGTTGTATTATTAGCGGCACGTGTTCATGTTACAGTAACAAGGTCCGCATGACATCTTATCCCAGTTGAGTAGATAAATGTTCAGGATGTCAATCACTGGACTGTCTGGTCCAGACTCGATTATTTACAAACTTCCCTCATATAGCTCGAATATTCTGAGTCATCGTTAAACAGCAAACACAAAACACACTTTATTTGTTGGATGTTTTGTTATATCATCAAATCTTCATCCTCAGCAAAGTTGTAGTTGTACAATTGATAATGCCATCAAGTCATTTTGCATATGAGCATGTTCGTGTTGTGTTTTCCCTATTACAGCTAAAGAAAGGGCAACACCCTATTTGTGCCACAATATACCAACACCCAAGTCAGACTTAAACATTCCATGTACCCCACTTAGTTCACAGAGTGGAAATATAACTGTTATTAATTCGGACCAAGAACGATAAACGGGTATACATTTTCTCCTAAAATGTTTTTTACATGTCTGTGATGTCACGTGTACGTAGCCTCTTAGTGGTGAGGTAGGTGTGTAGAGACAATGCAGGATTCAGAAGCTGAAGATATTGCACTGCTTTGTTCTTCAAACCAGCTAGGATAATTCAGTGTTTCTGAAGCAATGTTTTACAAGTGACGAGTGACGAGACGAGAGTTTCCTTGGGTGTAAACAATGATGTACAGAATGTTTGTCTGTGAATGACAGATGTATGTTGCACGAGTCACTCTGTCCACACCCGGTCACATGGCACATTGAGACTTGAATAATACACTGGGGGTCGTATACAGAAATATATACATAGGGACTTAGTTGAAACCAAAGGGAAACGGCTTTCTGGTCATTGGTTAGATATTCATATGTATTAGCCATGTGTGGGCTGGTGTTTAAATCTAACTTTGGTTAGACATTTTGCATTTCTAAACTTGGTACAGAAGATTGGTTGACCCATGATACTGCCAGTATAAGTTGGTACAAAATCTACATACAGTAAACTACGTTTATAACGAACACGCTTATAACGAACCGGTGGATATAACGAACTGTTTTTGGGGTCCCGTACATTTGCTGTATATATGCTGTATATATGCTTAAAACGAACTACGGTTATAACGAACTAAAATGTGTGGTCCCTTTGAGTTCGTTATAACCGTAGTTTACTGTACAAGAAACAATGCAGGTATTGGTCAAAGTGGCATTACATACTTGAGGCCTATGTACATATCCAATCTGCCATGTGGCTACTTCAATAAGTGCAGCACTAAAGGAGTCCAGGACATCGGGGAAGTTTTGAAGTTGTTTGAAGTTGAAAGAATACGAACACAGGAGACTTTTTATAGATAACGTTATTCTTTGTGACGACGTTTCAGAGCTACTTCTTGTCCCTTCATTAGGTGAATGCTGAGTAACTACATGAAGTTAATATATATACATGACGATACGTTTACACAAGGTGGGATAAATGTACACAAATAACAATATAATGACGACGCCAATGATGTTTACAGGAGAGAAGCCAATTACAGTGAAGGTCTAGTGATTGGCCTGGACGTAACAAGAAGGAGTCGACAATGGTAACACTAACACTCACTCACTAATACAGGAGAGAAGCCAATTACAGTGAAGGTCTAGTGATTGGCCTGGACGTAACAAGAAGGAGCCCACAATGGTAACACTAACACTCACTCACTAATACAGGAGAGAAGCCAATTACAGTGAAGGTCTAGTGATCGGCCTGGACGTAACAAGAAGGAGCCGACAATGGTAACATTAACACTCACTCACTAATACAGGAGAGAAGCCAATTACAGTGAAGGTCTGGTGATTGGCCTGGACGTAACAAGAAGGAGCCGACAATGGTAACACTCACTCACTCACTCACTAATACAGGAGAGAAGCCAATTACAGTGAAGGTCTAGTGATTGGCCTGGACGTAACAAGAAGGAGCCGACAATGGTAACACTAACACTCACTCACTAATACAGGAGAGAAGCCAATTACAGTGAAGGTCTAGTGATTGGCCTGGACGTAACAAGAAGGAGCCGACAATGGTAACACTAACACTCACTCACTAATACAGGGGAGAAGCCAATTACAGTGAAGGTCTAGTGATTGGCCTGGACGTAACAAGAAGGAGCTGACAATGGTAACACTAACACTCACTCACTAATACAGGAGAGAAGCCAATTACAGTGAAGGTCTAGTGATTGGCCTGGATGTAACAAGAAGGAGCCGACAATGGTAACACTAACACTCACTCACTAATACAGGAGAGAAGCCAATTACAGTGAAGGTCTAGTGATTGGCCTGGATGTAACAAGAAGGAGCCGACAATGGTAACACTAACACTCACTCACTAAAACAGGAGAGAAGCCAATTACAGTGAAGGTCTAGTGATTGGCCTGGGCGTAACAAGAAGGAGCCGACAATGGTAACACTAACACTCACTCACTAATACAGGGGAGCAGCCAAT